ACAGACAGACAGACAGACAGACAGACAGACAGACAGACAGACAGACAGACAGACAGACAGACAGACAGGCAAGCATGCTGGTAGCCATGTGAGTTGGTAGATAGGCAAAGGGATACTCACTTCCAAATTCGAAGTCAAAGTTCCTATTGAGGTCAATGCCCTTGCAATGCGACCTGACATATCGCCTGTTTTTTCTCCAGAACCGGCCCTGGTACTGTGAGGTCATGGGGAAAAAAGAACGCAAAAGAATGAATGTCTAGTAAAATATTCTGTCATGACGACAGGATGATATCAGGCGCTCATTGTATAACAAAAACAATAACGGTACTTCACATCTGATTTAAAATAAAAGTACATTTTATCGTAAAGGCCAATGACGACGAGACCTTTACCATAATTTTTTCACACTTTAATCAGATTATTGACCGAAATCAAGCCGTGCTGTGAACTGTTGTGAATGCAACAATCTTGTGTTTCGCACGTTCATATGACCTTATGCAGTTGCGAGCGCCATAAAACTCTTACTATAGTGCGGTTCACAATTCGCGGCGCAACATCCTCAAATATCTTTTAACAGGGAATTCAATGTCACCCATACTTTGCACTGCAGATTGTATCAATTTGTTTTAATTAACTTAATCATATTTTTCCACAACAATCGAGGCTATGCTGAAAAACTTTTTAAAATAGATCTATAGAAAGTACCGCAAATCTCCTCCACGCAGAAAATGGAATTGTTCACAGCAGTTCCCGCTTCTCATACACATTTTGCGTACGCAAATGGCTTACGTCAAGGCTCACCAATGACACTTTTTTGTTGCGAAACTAGTTATAATGAATTATATTTTATAGCGAAAACTTCTTTGCACGAAAAGTTCTCAAAACAAGCATTCAATAAACATAATCTCACAATTAGAAAAATGTTTTACATCGCGGTCATAGGTACTTAGAACGGTAAAAGGTGTCAGATAGAACTTTGTAATTCTGAGGTAGCGAGAAAGATAAAACGATGACAAATTACAATACAACGATGTTAACAGAAAGCGAAACAACCTACAGCGTTCCTTGTATGTTCGTAGCCGTCTGGGTTCACACAAGGAACCATAATCCAGTCAAATTTATTCAACATCATAGTTGCTTTCTCGTCGCCTGCGTCATATCTCCTTAGCAACTGGAAAAGACAATGAATGATTTTAAAAACTGAATTTTTTTGTTTGTTTGTGTATTTGTGCTTGGGGGGGG